TCGGTTATGACATTTTGTCTATTGTACTAAAAGATTTCAGTGATAGGCAAAAACATTCCTAAACATAACTACATCCAGTCCCGTGGTGTATTAGAGATTCCTTGGGTACGCGCGTCAACACACAGCGTGTAAGCATGAGGACAGGAGGCGACATTCTCGTCCTGCTCCATCAAAACAGAACACACATTTTAGTATTGAGAGGTGAGGAACCGACCTATACCTAGGCGAACCGATGTTCTAAGCAGTTATCCGGATGAGCCAAACGTCTACAGTGGCCATCAGTGGAACCATAATTATAGCTCAGTAGCACGGAGGTCAGACTGGCATGGCCATTTAGCTAACCTGGGCTCTTGGTAGGGTCGTTAGTCAATCAAAGTGACTGCATCTCTCTGGGCGCCTCGTAAACTCCAGGGTTAAATGTTAAGCTTACGACATAATGAGTAAATGAGACGAGGTACTTGACTAACAAAGCGACCAAAACGCATGAAACTTTCGACTTTAAGAGACGAGATACGCAGTTAATAGAACAGAAAATACGATGGCTAGCCTGTGCCTACATATATGCAAACTAGCAGTACAAAACTTACCTCGAATTGTTTCTGAAGACCACTACATCCACATGGTTCTACTTTGCGTAGACAGTGGACGTAGGCTGGAAATTCCGAGGCAAGTACCTCATGCTCAGGACAGATGAGGTATTCACGCAATGCGTCATGAATGAAGGCATATTGTTGCTAAGTGGATTAGAAGACAGGACTGTAACCGAAAGCAAAGCACATTATTCATAAGAATGTAAATATAAAGACAGTTTGTGATACGTGCTACTTCGAACGGAACAAACGAGTGACGGGGCCACTAATAAGTTCATTCACAGATTACAGTGGCAAAGAGTCCGATCAAGAACCCCATGTCTCCAATGGTTTGGTTTAAAACAAAGTACAATAATAAGACGGATAACACGGGGAGTTTCGCAACCTAAGCTTCGTTCGATTAAACAAGAGGATCAACTGACCATAAAACAGCAGGAACCGGGCGTACGATAGCCCGATTCGAATAGCAGGCTGAGCAAAATAAATCGAACGCGATAATATGATGAAATTGGTCAAAAATGCCACGGCGAATTGAAGACACCTCGTACGTGAAACCACCCACCAGCGTTCTCCGTC